TGGTCCTGGGACCATCTGTTCCTGCTTTTCTGAGATGGCTCCTTTTTAACCCTAGTGCAATGGCAAAATGAATCAATCTCAGCCTTAGAATCCTGTAGACCTTCTTATTTATTTACATGATCCTACCCAGCCACTTGGTGGGAATTAAGAAAACTTTGGATAGAAAAGTCATTCGAAGTAAATTCAAAGTACTACAGTCCATGGCTGATGATTGAAGTAGCTTGAGGTCACCTTCCAAATTCCCACGTACTGTTGCTATTAGTTTCAGTCTAGACTCGATGGCACCTAACAACAACAACAACAACAAAGTGGATTCCAACTCACGGTGACCCCATGTGTTACAGGGTGGAGCTATGCTTTTGGGTTTTGTTAGCTGTAATGTTGATGGAAGCAGGTTGCCGGGCCTTGTTTGCAGGTGCCCCTGGGTAGGTTCAAAGAGCCAACATTTGGGTTAGCAGTCAAGCACAAACTGTTGACACCAGTGAGGCACCTTTTCCCACGGATACAGGACCTTTGTTCCATTCTCTGAGTGTGCTCAGTACAGACCATTCTGTAGGTCACCATGAATTTCTGCCCTCAGCCAGATTTCTCATACTCAAGTTCTTCCCTTGAAGAGAGAGAAGATAGACTACCTATGTCTATGGAGGCATGTGAAGAGCTACTAAGGAAGGATACCAAGACTAGAATATGTAGATGAGGGGAGAGCAAAGCCAGCCATTATCCATACTTGAATAGCTGTTCTACAAGGCGTCAGACTGGTGCCTCCTGCAAAGGAAGAATAGGTGTACTTCCAAAACCCACTAGAAGTCCCTATGGTTCTCCTGTATTTCATAGAAAATTTATGAAATTATATCATCTGAGCTTCATCAGAATTGATCTGTTCAGGAAATGTTCAGCATCTGAGACACCGTGGTGGGCAGCGGGCAATTCCAAGCATTTTCAATACAGTTGATACCCTCAAGGGTTTTGTGGACTACATGGGTAAGTGGAGCACTTGCAGAGAAAAGCTGCATGCAGTGAGCTCAGCAGGCCGGAGTGGTCCAGCTCAGGAGACATTAGAGAGGAAGGCAGAAAAGCAAGAGCTGAGAGAAGGAAAGGCCTTCTTTGGACTGATCTGCATGGAAGGAACGTGTTGGACACTGGACCCTTGGGTGCATGGAAAGTGGTGGGTACACTCACTGTAGGAGGTGGAACAGAGAGTGAAGAAGGAGATTTGCATTTTTTATAAAGGGTACTAGGGGACAGCTATGAATTTAATGGGACAGGGATAGGAAAGAAGAATGCTTTAAGAAGATTTTGTCTGGATGTGTGGACTCTGAATGGGGGATGCAGGCAAGTGAGTTAGAAGACACTTATCATGTTGAATTTTGAGGAATGAAATGTTGAGGACTTGGACTACGGGTGGCTGTATGGATAGAAAGGAGGGACAACGAGATAATATGACAGACAGGATTTAAAATACCAGCTCTACCACTTGCTAAGGAGCTCTGGTAGCATAGTGGTTACGAATCGGGCTGCTAACCTCAGGGTCAGCAGTTTGAAACTATCAGCTGTTCCGTAGGAGAAAGATGCGGCTTTCTGCTCCCATAAAGATTTGCAGCCTCTGAAACCCTATGCAGGGTCACTATGAGTCGGAACCGACTCCACGGCACATAACAACAACAACAACCAGTTGCTACTTGTGTGACTCTGAGCAAGTTACTTTATCTCTTTGAACCTCAGAGTCATCACCTGTAAATAGAGGCAACACATACTTCACAGGACGATTGTGTGAGGATTTTAACTTGTAAGACATACAGCACAGAGTTGTTGTTAGTGCCGTCGAGTCGGTTCTGACTCTTAGCAACCCTATGTAGGGTTTCCAAGGACCCGCTGGGGGTTTGAACCACCGACTTTGCGGTTAGCAGTCCAGTGCCACAGTGGTCAATAAATATGAAGGGGTTTCAAAAAGTTTGTGAAAAAATTTATCATCTTTTCATTCTATTTTACCATAAACTTTTTGAGGCCCCTTGGTCCAAGTCCTCTTACGTTATAAAAGGCATTATTTTGTTATTGCCTGTGAGGAGTGATCTGGGAGTGGAGAATGAGGACTCCTAGGTTTTAAATCTGGGCATCTGGGAGAAGAATGCACCGTAAATACAATTGGGTAGAACTGTTTGGGGTTCTTCATATTCAGTTTTAGGAAGACCATTCTCTTAAACTCAGACTGCTAAACTCAGAGCTGTCAGAACAAAGCCCACCACCCACACAGTCTGAATGCCTACTAATAACTGCTGCTAGTTCTACCTTGCTAAATGCTCAGCCACTCACTGAAAGGCTGGCGGTTAGAATTCACTGAGGTGCTGTAGCAGAAAGATCTGGTGATCTGCTTCAGTTAAGATTGTTGTTGTTTTTGTTGTTGTTAGGTGCCGTGGAGTCGGTTCCAACTCAAAGCAGCCCTGTACAGGGTTTCTGAGGCTGGAAATCTTTACGGGAGCAGAAAGCCTATCTTTCTCCCACAGAACAGCTGGTAGTTGCAAACTGCTGACCCTCAGGTTCGCAGCCCGATTTGTAACCACTACGCTACAGGAAAACCCCAGGGGCAGTTCTGCTGTCACATGGGGTCACTGTGAGTTGACTTAGTTGTACACCACCACAACTGTTTCTGCTGACCCTCAGTAGTGCTGGCCAGCCCAGCTGTCCCTTGCATCACAAATTAGCGCTGGAATCAGGACAGGCAAATTTGTTGCCACAGCTAAGCTCCCTTCATTTATTCACTAAAAAAGTCAAGTTGCTCAGGAACAAATACCCTTGGGCTCTGTGCCCCCTCCCATGCATTTATCCGCATCCTGGCTCCTCCCTACCTGCTTTCTTTCCACTACAAGTGAGACACAATGCCTCCTCCTAGCCAGAAAGAAAGACCCTCTCTCCATGTACACATACCCCCATACCTTGTGAACCTGATCCCCATTTCAGTCACTCATCACTCAAGTCTTTCCTCAAACCTCTATCCTCCTCTCCTTCTCATTCCCTTTACTCTCCTCTCACAGACAGACATCTGCGAAGAATCTGTCCTCAGGTTTTGCTCCCTCACATCCTGTCCATGCAGACACAACCCACTGAGGCTGACTGTGGGAAGTGTGCCTGGCTCGAGGCGGGCTCCTGCCTTCCACAGCTCTGTGGAGCCCATGGCCTCCATGTTGCCACATCCAACAGACACTCAGTCCTTAGCTTTTTTTCTTGCTCTCTTTCTGCTGTTTTTCACACTGTGGACAACTAACTGCCTCCTTCTTGCAAGTCTTCGTTACTTCTGGCTTTTTTGATACCAGAAAAAATACCATAAATCTCTCAACTATTTCTTGGATACATACTGTATGCGAGGTTCTAGAACTTACTGTAATACAATGTCCCTGCTTTCAGGAAGTTTATATTCTAGTGTGAGGGAAGAGAGATGGATGGGAGAAAATGCAAGGTGGTTTATAAAAGCTACACAGAAATAGGGATAGGAACTGTGCTACAGGGGTATACATAGACGGGCTTACTGGAAGGTGACATTAGAGCAGAACCTGAAGGAAGTAAAGGACTCCTGTGTGAAGAGTGTGTTCCGGGCAGAGGGAAGAGCAAGGCCTTGAAGCAGGAGCCCGGCTTGGGACGTTTGAGGAAGCCATTGTGGCTACAGGAAATGAGGAAGGGAGAGTAAGAGAAGAGGCCAGAGAAGGGGCCAGGTCGGGTCATATGGGCCTCACAGGTGGTCATTTCAAGGGCTTTGCTTTGAGAAAGATGAAACACTATGGGAGCAGAGGAATGATTTTTTTTTTTTTTTTAACTTTTTATTGTGAGTTGAGTAAAAGTTTACAGGGCAGATCATGACTTTTACATTCAACAAATCATACACCTTGTTTCATTACAATGATTATAATCTCCTCCATGTACTATCATTTAACAGTATTTCTCTCTATTCACTTTAGCTCCTTTTTTTTGTTTGTTTGTTTTAACACTCAGGCATATATAACAATTTACACCACCAAAGGGCACATTCTGCAAGTCTGCTTCCTGGCTGCCAGCTCTCAATCTCTCTATTCCCATGAATCTAGAATCCTCCACTGCTCCCTTTCTCCATGTCCCCATTTCTGCCTCCTTCTCTGTGTCGCTGCTTCTCTGGATAAGGTCCCGCATTCCACTTGTGCGCATCTCCCTTGATGGTCTCAGGGTCCGCAGAGGAATAATTTTTAAAATCATCACTTAGACTGCTAAAAGGAGTGTAAATTGTAGAAGGGTGAAGGTGAAGTCAGGAGACTTTTTGTAGGTAGAAGGTCATGGCAGTAACCTAGTGAGAAGCTGGTAGCTTGGACCAAAGTGGTACTGGTGGGTTGCGGTGGTAAGAAGTGATGAAACTTTGGATATACTGGGTCGTCCCTGACTTACAGCAAGGTTCCATTCTGAAGACTGTTGTTAAGTCAGTTCTGATGTAAGTCAAATTCCTCTTCTTTTTTTTTTTTTCTTTTTCTTTTTCTTCACTATTACTTCTTTCCTTATCGGTATCTTTGTAAATCGATCTTTTGAATATCTGAGGAAAAAAACATCAAATCATGTGCTACAGCATTGTATGTAGTACATGTTACTAATGATAAGATGTACAAAAAGAATAAAAAGTGTGGTTCATCATAACTTAAATGCATCACAAGTTGGACTTATATGTTGAAAATAATGTTGACATCCTGCACTGATGGGTTAGATGTGGGGTGTGAGAGTAAGACTGGGTCACAGCAATGCCTCCTGGGTTTGGGGCCTGAGTAACTAGAAGAATGTCAGATGTCTTTGTCTCCTAAGTCCTCTCCTCCCTCAGGGACTTTCCTCAGCAGCCTTTGCTGGGTTGTCTTCCTCGGGAAGTCTATCAAGTGTTAGGTTCTTCAGGGTTCTATCCTTGGTTGCTTCCCCAGCGTCTTTCTGGTTAATATTACCTGTTCCCATGGTGAAGCATGATATCCTTCCTGAATGTGCTGTTTGGGTCTCTCCTACAGGTCCTGGCTCAGAAGGATGCTGAAGGAGGAGGACCCGGAAGCAGGACGACCCTGAAAGACTGAGCCCCTTACCCTGAAACAGGTAGCATCTCTGGAATCCTTGGTGTCTGAATGTCTTATGGGGAGTAATAAGATCGCTTCTTAGGATAGAATGAGGGAGTTTGATTACTAGGACTGGAAAAGAGAAGCTATTTGAATAGGCTATCTCTGGTAGGTGGAATGCAGCCAGGCTACATGACCAGGAAGGTGTCAGGAGACCAATGTTCTCACTGAACTCCCGTTGTGGTGTGGTAAGTGGGAGGAAGGCTGTTTTGCTCCTGGACACTGTAGATTTGTGGAACAGTGATGGTAGATCCACTTGTTGGGACCCAGCATCTTCTGAAACAGAGTCTGTCTTGCTCTGTTGACGTTGCAAGATTGTTGTGAATAATTGAGGACCTACAAGACATTATGTGGATGATGGCACAAGAAATGGTTAGAGGGAATTAGAGATGGCTGGAGTTTCTCTGAGAGAAACTCCACAGAGCCTGTCAGAGGCAGTCAAGACCAAGCAACCTTTAAGTTGGCCTTAGTTAGTATTTTTACTGATTTCTTAAAATCTCTTTTTGATCTCTTACAGTCTGTTTGTCCTTCTAGACACACCCAGGTTCTATGCAAAAGCTGTCAAAAGGGTCAAGTGTGTGTAATTAATTTTGGCTGTTGTTTGAGATTAAAAGCAAGATGATCTAGCAAGGTGACTATTTTCCACTGATTTTCTATAACTGGAAAAGGAGGATGGTGGGGCTCATTTGATCTTTTCAGTGTATATATTTTTGCTTGTGTGATTTTATTATTTGGGTTTTTTGCTTGACATGTGCTACACTTTCTATTGCTCTTATGTGAGACTCGGAGTCATTTGCTTCAGGTTTGTGTATGTTTTTTTTAAATTGTCCCTGATTTTGATTGTATTTTTAAGCCATTGTGTCTTGAGGTTCCAACTGGAAACGATGACTTCCTATTGAAGACCCTAGAGAAGGAACTATTTATGAGGGTGTAGGCAGGGTAGAATAGTGTGTTACGGGTTGGGCTGCTAACCACAAGGTCAGCAGTTCAAATCTACCAACCACTTCGTAGGAGAAAAATGAGGCTTTCTACTCCTGTAAAGATTTATAACCCTGGAAACCCTATACAGGATCATTATGAGTCTGAACAGACTCAATGGCACACAACCACCACCACCGCCACCAGGCAGGGTTAGGAGTCCTGGAGTGGTGCTGTGAGTTAATGTCCCAGACTACAAGGTCAGTTTGAACTGCAAAATTGGCAGCTCAAGCTCACCAGTTGCTCCTTGGAAACCCTATACAGGGTCACTATGAGTCGAAATCGACTCCGTGGCAATTAACAACAATAACACCAACAAGTTGTGCAAATAATTAGTGTGCTTAGCAGATAATTGAGCACTTGGAGGTTCAAGCCCATCCACAGTCACTTCAGAACACAAGTCTATTGATCTACTTCCCAAAAATCAATCACTGAAAACCTTACAGTGCACAGTTCCAATCTGACACATGGGCCCACCCTGAGTCTCAGTCGACTTGACTGCAATGGTTAGGCAGAGTTAAGAGGAACCAGAAAGGATCTTGTAGCTTCTCAAGGCTAGCAACTTTAAGGAGCTGGTACCATGTCTGGGCCTGAAAGGAAGAGGTGGGGATTGCTAACCAGAACTGGGAAAGAAAAGCTCTCTGTGGTAGAGGGATACAGCCAACCTATAGCAAATGGCCAGGAAAGAGCCAGGAGAACAAATGTCCTCACTGAACGTCCCTCTCTCTACTCCAGTTCTCTGATGGTGCCTTGCATTCACCACATTCAACTGGAAGCTAGGAGGCAAGGCAGCCCCACAATGCTGCCCACAAAGACCAGAGCCTCTGGGGTACAGAGCAGAGTAGAGAAAGCTAGAAGAGCAGATGACACATGTCTGACATGACCCAGATGGCAGATTACTTGGATTATAAGTGATGTTTATACTTTAGAACCCAGAGGTTGATTGTTAGTTTGTTTAACTGGAACTTTGTCTGTCAGCGGCCTGGAACAACTGGCTGCGAGGGCTGGAGGAGAAAGGAATCTCCAGTCAGACCTCATTGTTTTTGTTGTTGAAAAGACTCTGGCAAATCAAGTGACTTGCCCAAGGCCGCTCAGTAATTCATTCAAGTTTTTCTGGACAACTATTAGATTTTCTTGGATAAACAACACAAAACACTTGAAGCAGTGAAGAAACAATGCAAAGAAAAGCCCATCAAGTGCCAGGAGAAAGCTGTGGATCAGTATGTGTTTTTCAAGTTATCACTTCAGATTCTTCTGGGTTGTGAGTCACAGAAAACCTAACTCAAAGGGACTTGAACAGCTTGGGATGAGTGTGTTCAAACACCTGCAAAGTACAGGGATGAGACCGAGTAGACTGCAGGGCCAGTGGCAAATGGGCTCCATGATGCCATCAGCAGTCCACTTTCTTTTCCTCTCTCTGCTTTTGCTACCACAGTATCAGTATATCCACAGGCTGGCTTCCTTCATGAAGGCAGATGGCTGCAAAAACGTTCCTGGGTCCATTTTTGCAGGTCACTTTGTTCAGAAGGAAAGAAAGCAGTCCTTCTAGTAACTCTTACAAAATCTTAGGGTTGGTTCCACCCCAGCAAACCAACTTTTGCATCTCATTGGTTTAAAGTGAGTCATATGCTCATTCCTAAACCAATCCCTATAGACTGGAGAATGACCTCTGTTGATTAGCAGGGTGGGACATTTTCCTGATTGGCCTTTCCCTCAGGAGAAGAGGAAAGAACAGCTCCTCCCAGAGGACTGTGGGTAAAGGACTGAACAGAGCTCTCTGGGAGGGCAACAACTGGCACCCACCCTACTATATCATGGATAGAAATTCAGTAAAGCCCAACTGGGTGGTGGGAAAGATTAAGTGCTCAGAAAAGGATTAAGTGCTCAGAAGAAAGATTACCTGGTCTGGTAATCTATATCTGAAAATCAGTCATTGAAAACTCTGACACTCATAGGGTCACCATGAGTAGGAGTCAATTCAAAGGCTACTGGTGATTTGGACTCATTGATGGGGTAATAGTAGGATAATAGAGTGAACATCTACTTTGAATTAGTTTGAATTTGAATTTTAAAGTACTTAAATCTACCAAAAAAAAAAAGGTCCTGTTGGAAGCCTTGCAGTTAGCATCTGTTTTTCACTATATCTTAAAATATAGAACCTTCTAGTGGGTTTAATTCCTAATTTGCTTAGTCAGCCTTTTTATAGCCAGAGTAAACACTTAGATTACATTCTGGGTTGGTGGGGATTAAATTACAATAATGAAGTTCATCATTTATAATCTCATCTATAAAATGGGGATAAAAATAGCACCGACTTTATAGGTTTGTTTTAAGAATTAATTGAGGGAATCCAAGTAAAGTACTTAGCCCAGTGGCTGGCCCAATAACTGTTACCTTTACTAGCATTGTATGTCTCAAAATATTGCCACATTTATGTGTTTGTGCATATGTTTAATCTAGGAAATTAGCTGTCTTTACAACAAATATCTGTCACTGATTAGCTCTGTTAGAGACAAAGTAAATGAGACTATTAAAATATTTAGTGTTCGTGGAGTCTTTTTAAAAAAAAATTTAAGTGGTTTGCTTTTTTAATTAGAATTTAGGAAAAACCTAAATAAAGAAAAATCTAAATAGCATACAAATAATTTAAAAGCAGGAGGAATCCCTGGAACACAGGGATTATTTAATTTTTTGCAGTATATTCCTGTTGGGTACTGAAAAGTGGATTTCTACTCCTAGCGACCCCATGTGGCAGAATTGAATTGCCCTATAGGATTTTCGTGACTATAATCTTTATAGAAGCAGCTCACCCACTGTGGTGCAGTGAGTTATTTAATATGGATCTTCTAGCCAAGTTCTATGTATTGTTATTGTTAAATGTCATTGAGTCAGTTCTGACCTATAGCTACCCTGTGTAGGGTTTCCGAGGAGCAGCTGGTGAGCTTGAACCGCGGACCTCATAGTTCAAACTGACTTTGCAGTCCAGGACATTAACCCACAGTGCCACAGCAGGACTCTAAGCCTACAGCGCCTGGTATTCCCAGGCTGTCTCCCAACCAATACTAACTAGGCTTGATCCTGCTCAGCTTCTGAGATCCGACAAGATTAGGTGCATTCATAGTGGTATGGTAGTAACTCCCATTAAATGACTGGCTTGGACTATGTAGATTGGGTATATAGTTTCTCTTTTCCTGATGGATCTGTGTAAGAGAAGGTGGAGGATCCTATGATTCAGTTGTGAGTGATTGTTACGAGGGTTAGTTGTGATTGTAAATACTTGGAACTCTAACCTGGAGATTGGCTAGTTTTATCTTTCTGCTGGCTTCCAAGTGAGCCATCTCAGAAACACAAAGAGAAGGATCTCACTATCATCAAGAAAGAAGAGCCAGAAGTGGATGTGTCCTTTAGATCCCTGTGCACTGGATTTCCTCAATCCAGGGACAGAAAGCCGGGAGCAGTAGAGGAGTGACAGCAACAGGAACAAGAGCCAGAGCACAAGCTAGAGCAGTGGACTTCTGGGCCCTTGGTGTGCCTTCGGGCAGGAGTAAGGTGCCACCAGGCACTTAATTGGGGAAGCTAGGTTTTCTTACCCAAGGAGCTAGCTGACTGCCTTTGGGCTGAGGCTTCTAGCAGAATGGAATGCCCTTTGGGGCATTTATTGTTGTTCTTATGTGCTGTGGAGTTAGTTCTGACTCATAGTGATCCCTGTATAGGGTTTCCAAGGAGCAGCCATTGGGTTTGAACTTCCAACCTTGTGGTTAGCAGTCCAGTGCTTATCTACTGCCCCACACCAGGAGTCCAGCTTCCCTAATAAAATCCATAATTTTGAGTCTGGTCTGTGAGTTCTATGTGGCTGTTACAATGAATGACCAAATCCAGCTGAGAAGTGCAGAATGCTGTGGGAGGAACAGTTGGTGTTAGACTTGGTAAAGAAGGGTGCAGTGTGGAGACATGTCTGAACTTGGCCTCCTTAGGAATTGGCCTTGGGCTGATGTTGATGAT